CTACTCTAGGGACTTAGGTTATGTTACAGAACAAGAAAGACAGAAAGATTTGCCTCTGCAGTCAGATACAGAATAAAATATGTATAATGTCTCCCCTTCCATTGTCAGCCACCACCTTGTGCAGCATGGCTTTCTACTCAAAGAGTGTTTATTGTGTAGGGGAGGTGGGCACAGACAACAGATAATAATCACAATTCTGGGTTAAATACTAGATAAAAGGTGCTAAGTGATCTGGAAGAAAGAGAGGAGGGCAAAGGAGATCAGAGTGTTAGGTAGAAGGACAATTACAGTTTTAAGTAGGATGACTATGGAAGTCATCATTGAAAAGGTACATTTGAGTTTGAAGAAGGTCCAGAGAGGCATCTGGGAAAGAGCTTTCCAGGCAGAGGACAAAGGAAGAGAAGAGTTTCTAAGGTGCCAGGCATGGCTAGAGCACGTGAGTGAGGGGAGAGTAGTGGAAGCTGAGTTTTGCAAGATAATGGGGCCAAATCATGGGGGCCCATACAGGTCATTGTGATTACTTAGGCTTTTACTCTGTTAAAAACTGAAAAGTCACTGCTGAGTTTTGAGCACAGAAGTCGCATAATCAAATTATATTTTTTCAATGATTCCATTGGCTGCTGGGTTAATATTAGTTTGAAGGGGGAAAGGGTAGAAGCAAGAAATTCAAAGAAGGCATAAGGCAGAGACAGTAAAATGTGTGCATGAAAGCCTTCCAGTTTGTCCTGGGTATTTGTGAAGACACTTCACATTCTCTTTTTACAGTGAGGTGAGCATGATATGACTCGGTCACCATTTCCAGACTTGGCCCTAAAACCTGACGTGTGTTCTAAACTCTGATCCTTCTGCAGCAACCATTGAGACCCTGTGTTGTGGATGAAAACATTGTAGGGTGGAAGGAGCTGTCATCCTCAATGACAGCCTGGAGCACAACCACCCCTTTTCATGCCAACTGCACTGGATTGTGACTTGAGTAGTTTTGGAAACTATAAAAAAGAACAAAAAAGAATGTTTTGTACAAATTCCCTGTCCCTCTCTATTTCTTTCAACCTTGTTGGCAGTTATTGCTGAGATTCACTTCCTGTTTTTATTTTTCAAAGAAAGAAGAGCAGGGCACGGGTCAAATGCACCTCTTCTCCACATCTCTCCAACAGCTTCTTAAAATCATGCCGCTGTGCTATAACACTTTTCAACATCCCAGCATGCCTTGGGGGACCTAAGACACTTATGATGGAGAATCTCTAAGTCACTGTGTGCTGAATTTGGAAAATGACAACACTATAACAACAACAATCATTAAAATTAAAACAAATTTGTTTTCCCTTTCTTTCTAAAAATATATCAAATTATTGGCAACATTTCAGCATGTTTACTATTTGTTGGAATTCTTTTCTAAGCAGATTGTCATTCACTACACCAGTTCTTGAAAATTATTTAAACTCCCCACATCACCAAATATATATAGAGAGAAAGATAGAGAGATAGAAATAGATATCCTTTTACCTTCCTTCAGTTTGATGTTTTATCAGATACTTGTTTTTAGAAAATTTCAAAGGTAGAAACCCAATTAGCATTAATGATAGACAGGAAGTAAACTTTTCCCAAAGAAATTACCATAATTCTCCCTAGACAGCCTCTTGGATATAGAAAAGGGGAAATGGGTGATTAATATGCTTACTATGTGCTGGGACTACTCTGGGAACATTATTTAGAATATTTCATAAGTATCTTCAGCATTACTCTTAGCCAGCTTGTGGTTAAGATGGAAGGAGCCAGTGCTAGTATTATCTTCTCTGACAAATGATAAGCAGACACAAAGAGGTGACATGACTGTCACCAACCCACACTGCCAGGAAGAGCATATCCGGATGTGTGGGACACATCACTGCAGATGCTTTTGCTTTCTTTTCCTGGAACAGTCAGAGGTAGAGAAACACTGCAAAATTGATCCAGACCAACTGGGGGATGCCCAGCAGCTCAGCACTTTAGGAAACCACCATTGGATTCGGCCAGAACTGCGTGTGGATTTTGGTTTTGTCACTTTCTAGATGTAGTCCTTGACAATTTGCTCAATCTT